CGCAGCCGCGTGCGAGTTACACAGATACGAAAGTATAGAATGTACATATAATATATATATATTTTTTACACATGTATATATACGTATACACAATACATATGTACCTACGTACGTACGGCCAACTAAGGGTAGACAGGCGCAATCACGTGTTCGGGTCGAATCCGATCGATCGGCCGCGCTTCGGGATTTCTGCCCGTCGACGTCGCGAAAACCGGACGGTCGACTTCCCTTTTCGGGTCGCTGCCGATTTCGGATTCGACATTCGGTATGTGTATGGGTGAATGTACGTGTGCGTGTTCCGTCGCGGGCGACGAATCGATAAAGGCGATAAAAATAATTGGAGAGAAACAAATCTCAATGAGACTCGTGCTCTCGATAGCGCAATTACAAACAGAAGAGAAACGATGGGAGCTGGCGGGACGAAAAGCGGCTCGGAAAGTTTCTCGTTCGTGGAAATACAGTCATGCACATTGATTTTCCGACGCAATCGCGATCCTCGGTCGATATCCCGCGCTGTCGAAACCGGGCGATCCAGAGACGGACCCGAAGCTGCCGGGGCGACATCCAAGTTTTCGGTGTCGCGTCACACGCGTGCTCCCCGGGAGCTCGAATTCCGAAAACTTTGTCCCCGGGAGCGAATGAATTCTAGGAGAATCCTGGAACTTCTTTATATCAGAATCGTCCAGAACTGTTATCTGCGCGAATGCAAAGTTAAATTCGTCAGTTATGTTTAAAAGCGCCCCTCTTAATCTGCTCCTCGTCGACGAACTTTTTCGCGAATCGCCCGTTCTCTCGGCGTACGCAACGTGCCGGGGATCGTGATTGCCCTTTAAAAGCTGAACTTGGAGAATAAAGGATACGGGATACCTCGAATGTGAATAAACGTGGGAGACATTCGCCAGCATTACATAAGATCAACATGTCAGGAACGAGTAACAAGACATTAACATAAAGTCGCACGGAGTGAGAGGTCGTGTTTGTGTGTGACGCTCCCGCACAGCGTTTCCAAAGAGAAACTACGGTCCCCGGAGGGATTTTTACAAGCTTAACAAAAGACGGGTAAACCTATTAAATGGAAAACTACGGAGGACCGAAGGCGTCCTTGGCGCCGGTAGTTTCGCTCGACGGTATAAGAGTGTGACGAGCACCATTTTTCATCTCGACAATTAACCCGCAGTGGTCACACTTCCTGAGACTCACGTAACTGCCACACCGGGGTCCAATTCACCCCGCTGACTTTTAAGCGTGCTTACACTGTTCGTCGAATGTGAACGAAAAACGGAGAGGGTGGGCTATTGTATCAAATGTAGAATTTAAAATTAATTCGAAATCGCTCGATTGATTTAAAGACGTGAATTTGCTGACGACTATATTCCATCTAAACGAAACTGCGTCCGAGAAGGAACCGGCGCACAGGATAGGTGGAAAAAGACGGTATATGCATTCACATGTTAGATCAAAATTATTGGACTACCTACATCTAGCTCGGACCTACAGGGTGTTAGTAAATTCATGTTACAACGCTTGAGGGGTGAAAGTACAAATCAAAACAAACATTTTTTACCAATACACATGGGGGCGGAAACGAACCCCTAACCCGTTGGAACGCGCGATGAGTTCAGGGTAGGCAACGACTCCTAAAAGCCGTGGTTTACGGCCAGTGCAAACCGTTGAAGAGCTCACCGAAAGAATTATCCAAGCGTTTGATGAGATACGAGCTTCCCCAGGCAAGTTGCAAAGGATAAAAGAAAACGTGATTCGCCGTTGCCACTTGTGCGTCGATCAAGGTGGTCGTCATTTCGAGCACACCCTTGCTCTAAAATGTGTTATCGGTTTACAGAACTGTTAATAAACCGTTGTTTAATTGAACTGTTGTTGTTTTAAACAAAATCCCAACATTTGTTCTTAAACGTAGCGGCCAGCGTAGTAAAAGATGTGCACAAGGGGTTGCCTACCCTGAACTTTTCGCGCGTTCCAGCGGATTAGGGATTCATTCCCGCCCCCATGTGTATTGGTAAAAATGTTTGTTTTGATTTGTACTTTCACCCCTCAAGCGTTGTAACATGAATTTAGTAACACCCTGTATAAGGCGTCCTCGTTTGTCTGATTCGTAACCTTCTCAGTTTTAATTCTTGATAAAAATTTAGGGCTACATTTCAGAAATGCAATGCTTTGAGAGCTCTTGGCAGCTCTACACTTGCTACGCATGGTGTAAAGATACAAGGTGAAGCAATCTGGTGGATGCGCGGTGTCAACCAATGAGAAGTGGCCCAAACTACCGAATTGACCAATCAGAAATTTGCTCCAGCCTTCAAACTGCAAATCATTGCGGTTGAATGCAGGAAGAACCAATGAACAATTTGCCCCAAAAATTGGTTACACGCGCAATGTTTCAGCTTGTATCTTTACACCATGGTGCTGCATAGCTTGCAAAGATACAACGTCACAGAGTATTTTTACAGAATAAATCCCCCCCTCCTCCCGAGTCTTTAAAGGGCCTTGGAAACGCCGCGTTCGTGTCATGTTGTAAATGTGACTGGTGTACATACACTCTCTCCCTAGCCAGGCGCGTGTACGTCGATCTATTGTCTTGAGAGAGACGAATCCTTCCGCCGCGAGGAGGGCGCGCTGACCTACGTCTTCATCGCTCGCGTTCGCTCACGAAAAATTGCTCGATAAGGCCAAGACCCGGCTAACGAAGGATACGTGAACGGAGACGCGTTTGGTCGCGTATACGTGTACTCGCTGATAACAGACAGCACAACCGGACGACTTAATCGTTCCGTCAGCTCTCGAGCTTGTCACGCGCCTTCTGCGGCTCGAACGGTCCGCGCGTACCGCACGTATCCTTCTTCTACAGAACGAGAAGAGTCGCTCGAAGGTTGAAAGCGAACGCTACTTGTTAGGAACACCGGGCGGAACGACCGTACGTCGTATACTTCGTGTGCCGTGTCGCGTCGTGTCGATAAGATTGCGATGCTGCGTACGTTCTCGTTTTTTTTTCTTTTTGCTTGCTCGCTCGCTCGCTCGCTCGCTCACTCCTCTCCGCACGCATCGTTCGCGCAATCTCTCTCTCTCTCTCTTTCTCTCATCTAGTAGGTCGCGCGCGTGTCCGCCTCGAAGGAAAACGTGAGGGGACGAAAAGAAAAAAAAACGAACGTGAGCCTTTAGACGCGCGGTCGCTTTTCGTTTTCCCGGTCGGAATCAGAGTCCGCTGAATCGTGGAGAGGCGGAAATTCGGGCACCGCCTCGCGATGTTGCATCCATCCCGTCGCGCCTGGCCCCCCAGCCAATGCCTTGCCCTGCGTCATGTTTTTCGATTGTTTGTTTTTTGTTTTGCAATTGATTTTTAGCCCTCTGTCTTTATCCCCTGCAGGATGGCGACAAAATAGCGTGTCATTGGTCACTAAGCCTCGCCTCGATACCCGGTGAAAAAAAACACAAGAACAAAACTTGCTTCGCTTCGCGCTTCGTTCTCGGGTGGAGAACGTCCGGTCCGCCCGACCGACGAAGCACGGGTGCGCCGAACGTTCTCCAAGCACGGCCGCGTCGCGTCGGCCGCACGCGGGACCGAGAGACAGGAGTTGATCCTTCGCGTTACGTGGCGAAAGTTCAAAGTGCCCCGAAGCGCACCTTGCAACCCGTGTAACTTAAGCCCGTGTCACACTATGTATTGCAGATCGCGAATCGGATTGAGATTGAGGGTCGCGGATCGCATTTCAGCCAATCAGACGAGACAGCCTCGTATCCGATTGGTTGAATTGCGATCCGCGATCCGCAATCCCTATCCGATCCGTGATCCACAATCAAGAAGACTAGAGACCAGAGAATTGGCCGGCGACCATGACCGCGAACAGCGGCAATGAAATGCGACCATATTTTGACCCACCCTCACCACTTAAGGTCTCCTGGTCTCTTAGTCTTCTTCCACAATACGTAGTGCGACATGGGCTTTAAATCTGTCGCGCGGCGAGCGAAGCTCGGATAGCCCGAGACTGTTTCGCGTTATCACTCGTCCCTCGTTATCCGCGTCCCTCGGAAGGATTCGCAATCGGCCTCGTCCCCGCGAAACTTGCCGCTCGGATGTCATTCCGTCGGCGAAGCGACCGGCAAAGGCCGAACGGGGGATCCTTCCGAGCTCGCCGATGCGACGACGCCCGGCGTCTACTCTACTGTCTACACGAAAGTGTCTGAACTCTGCAAAACGAGCTACAATGAGACTTTTGATCGCATTCACTCCCTCTCTGTCACGCACTTTCTCTCCGTCTTTCGGTCCTCCGGCTGTTCACTCGCAATCAGATATCCTCAATGAAGACACACACGCACACACTCTCTCGTTCTCTGTTTTCCAGATGAAAAGACAAAGGCGCGCACACACGTACTACCTTGTAAAACCAGTGCACACGTGGGCCTCAGAAAATAGCATTATCGTAACTCGGACGTTCTTTTTAAATCCGTTAAATTAGCGTTGATCAACTACGGACAGTTTCCTGATCTCCCTCTCGAAAGTGCGTTCCTTGATTACGTCCAAGGAAAGAACGACGCTTCGGAGGCTCTCGTGTCTTGGAACTCGAGCATGCAGCCATGCATGTCACGAAAACTATCTGCCCTAGTATCTCTTCAGCTATAAGACACTATAAGACTCTCCAAACGTTGCCTTGTTTTTCCTTCCATCTACCTATATATACATTTCACATGTGGAAAAACTGTGTTAGTGTGTGGACCTGTGTGCGTGTGTGTGTGTATATGTGAGTAAAGAGCTGCCTTTAAGTAAGTCTCTAAGGTTTAAGTATCGAAAGCCATGTAAAGAACGTATGCAACCGCGCGCGGTGCGTAAGATGCGTGTATGCTGTCGAACATTTATGTACAAATTCGGATATGATTCGCGTTACCGGCGTGTCCTTCGACTTAAAAAACTACCTTTTTTTAAAGAAAAAGGTAAAAACACCAAGTGTAAGCGCCATCCAATCAAGAATTATATAATTTGATTATTTGGATATATTTTGTTAGGAAAAAATACATTTTTATCGCCTCTACAAAAGTAATGATATCATCAATCCTCCGACGTTGATCTCTCGGACGCGAAAACCGCGAGAGGAGAGGAAGCAACGGAGAGGCCCCTCGCGCGAGCACGCAATTTCAAGACTCCGTTTTACAAATTCCGCGACTGGAAGAATCGGTACTGAGAGCGGACGGTTCGCCGCTTCTCAGCGTCTGCGTACCAAGACACTCGCCGCGATCGGTTTGACAATCGAGACCGAACACTTGTCGCGCGCTGCCACCGCAACTTTCACTATCTACATAACAAACGGCCTAACTAACGTATCTCTAAAACCTAAAAAGAAAAGAAGAGTCCCGGCATCTCCAAATCTTATTGCACACTTGGCGAGACCTAATCCTAAGGGAAGAGCTCGAGGGCGAGAACGTCTTTCCGGAGGGCGCGTCGCCACGGGACACCCGGAAAGATCCGAACCCGAAAGCTCGGGACGCCGTGGCGTTCTCCAATTCTTCCAATGTCGACGTACTCTTCAGGATGACAGACCGACACGGGAGAAGTCAACGAGAGAGCTCGTCGAACCTTTCACGATAGGTCCCTGGGATCGGGATCGCCGAGAGAAGAGAGCGTCGCTCTTTACCCCCCACGATGCTACACTCGTCTTCGCAACGTCGAATTTCTCCGAATTATCCGAAGATAGGCCGACCTGCTTGGACCCGCGCGAGTCTTGACTCTATCGCGTTCGCATCTTTAAACGCGTATGTCGCGACGCACGTGGCTCTTCCTCCCCCTCCCCTTCCTCCCGTGCGCAGCTTAGTTCGAAAATAAATTCTATTTTTCGGAGTTTACGGAGCGTGGAGATCTTCCTCTGGAGTGAACGCGCGATAATCCCGTTGTCCCGCCGTGCGCGCCTCCGCGAAGCGCAGGCTTGGAGTGGAAATTTCAAAACTCGTCCCCGGAACACGTGGACACGCGGATCCGCCTGCGTTACATATTGCACTGATCGGTGAGTTAGGTGGGAACCGGAACTGGCACCTCGCGAGCCGGACGATCCTAACAACGTCTCCCCCGAGAGGATTCTCGTTCGTAGCTTCTCAAAAGATCCACGACCTTTCCTCGAAAAAGCCCCTCTCTCTTTTTCTCTTTGAAAACTGACTTCTAGGGAAAGAGACCATACGCTCGTTGCAATGGAGAACGATGTCCCGACCGGCTCTCGTCAGCTATGAATCCCGGGTCATCTCTCTCTATCTCTCTTTCTCTCGCGCTCGCACTCTCTCTCTCTCTCTCGCCATCTCTAACTTTTTAAATGTCTCTTTCATTCTCTCTCTCTCTCTCTCTCTCTCTCCCTCTCTCATCTCGTGTCGAGAGCTTGCGACGAGGTGTTTCCTACACGATTGTGAGCGTTTCTAGAGCCTGACGCATCACTGGAAACACAATAAAAAAAAAAAAAAGCACGAGAGGCCGAGATCAGTGTACACGCACCAGTCTCGATTTTCACGTCTCATAATTTTTTCCCCCGCCGTGTGATCTCATTCTCTCCCACTTTCTCTCCCCCATTCGCGTTCATCCCTCCATCTTTCTGTCTCTCGCACGACTCACACTTTCCCATCCTTTCTCTCCCTCTCTTTCGCTCTCTATTTTAGCTTCGACTGCGTGTCTCTTTTGCGTGGCTGTCTGATCCGGGGTCTCTCTCTCACTCTCTGTCGCCTTCTAAGAATTTCGTTTCATCTGCATCAAGAAAAAAACGTCATTGAGTCGGATTGGAGCTTTCGGTCTTTCTCTCTTTATTATTATTTTTTTTTTTAGCAACTCGCGTCGAGTCGTAATTTAAGATCCTGACGAGAATTTGTCCGATTGCGATCCCCCTACTTCCAAAGTTAAATCCGATTTGTGCGGCTAGTTGAAAATTCCTCGTTTAGATTTGCATAACGTAATCTCTCCGCGAGCGATAAGAGGAGAATGCGCGCCGTATCCGGGATCGTGTCTCCTCCGCGGAGACCGTTCGCGCGCCCGATTTCGCAGCCTCCGCGACGAGTATCGTCAAGGTGATGGAGAGTAGAAGAGACGGCGCAGCAGACGACCGCGAATGGATCGTGACAGTAACGTAGGCGGGTAGCAGAGACCGTACCAGAACTGTGCTTGCGACAATGCGCCGTCTTTCCTCTCAACGTGTCATTCTCGATATTTTAGTGGCGCGCGTTACGGCGAGCGGTATATACGCGGCGCGGGAGAACCGGCAATCCGAAAACGGCTGGATTGGGAAGGAAAAGCTGCCAAGTGCCTTCCCTTTCCTCGTCTGACCTCCATCCGCGCCTCCGCGCTCTCCGTTGCGACAAACACAGTTCCGCGCTCCTTACGTGGCTACTGTTACTTGTTAGAATTCGAAGTACCAACCAACAGCCGATTAGAAGAACGAGATTAAGAGAAGAGTGAAGGGGCGGGGAGGGACGGCAAAGAACAACAGATAAAAAAAACACGAGGCGGTGGTTATGGACGGATTATACAAGTGGATTACATCGTACATTACTTGACCGGTGCAGAATGTTAGAGTCAGTCGGCCGGCGTGTGAGAGAGGCTCTTTGTGCTCGTGTGAGAGTGTGTACAAAGCAAATGCTCATTTGTTACGTATGCGATTACGGGGAAAAGTATGTAGTTAGTGCCAGCTGCAGCGTCAAAGGGAGGGCGAGCGTCGCAGGCTTCGCGGCTCGGGCCGATCGTGTCCTCGCTGTCGGGCACCAGAAATTCGAGCTCGTTACTCTCGAAAAGTCGATCAGTGGAGTTCCATTGATAACAGTGATAATCCACTGATTGATTTTTGGAGAGTAGGAGCATCGGAACGGATCGGAATACACTGACGTTGGGAGCAAAGTTTACACGTGGACTCGCCGCGGCTAAAATTATAAATTTACTCTCTAAAAGTCAAGTGGATTATCACTGAAAACAGTGAATAGTTACTAATTTCCAGCTATGAGTAGACTGTTGAAAATCAGTGGTATACTTATAACTGTAAATCAGTGATTGTTCACTGTTTTCAGTGAAAATCCTGATTGACTTTGAGAGAGCAAACCGAAGGATGATGCTTCGGCGCGTGGCAATTCCCCCTAAACGTCACGAGGAGGAACCGTAAAGCTAGCGTCACGCTGCGCGCGATTCGTGAATAGTGTGGAGGGAAAATTCGTCGATTCGAAATGATTCGCTAGCCGAGCGGTTTCTTGACGAAAACAGCGGTTTTTTTTTACTAATATTGAAACTCGACTAATTGTAGACTTGTAATACGAGTCCTGTGATGACAAGTAAAAGTTAAAACTTGTCCAAGCTAACACGAACGAAACGACAAGTAACAAATTACGAATGATAAACTACGAATCACGAATCGCGCATGGTGTGGCGTTAGCTTCAGGCGCAACGTTGCTTTTTTGTTAACGTCGAGACGGAGCAAAAATTCAGATCGGTGGAGCCGAAAGGATCGCGCTCTGTCGCGGAGAAGAGACGGGGTTTATCGCGCGACCAGTTAAAAACGAAATTGATCCGTAAATTCGCTACGTGTTTTGTTTCTCCGACTCGAAGGGGGCATCGATCGAGCGATAAAACTGATGGAACTTAACGCCGACGGGAAGACGCGGGAGTAGACGTGCTCCGTTTCGGATCGATAAAGAAGTGGAGAGCTACACGGGAACCGGAAGTGACTGCGGAGCAGCGCGGCTACGAGCATGCATTTTAGTCGCTTCATTTCAACCCTTGCGCGATCCGTGGAATTTCAAGGTGGAACCGGATCGAATTAATTTCCTCCCGCTTTCTTAGGACGACCTCGATTCCAATCGAGCACCCGAATGCGCTTTCCAAAGTAGGGGGCTACGCCGACGAGGAAGGAGACTCGTGACGACGCGCGCGACTCATCATCGGTGCGATCCCCCCCTGATACTTTAACGATAGTTCAATACTCGTCGATCTCGCGAGTCGGAGGGCACGCGAATGGAACGGGTTCGCCGACAAATAATTCGACGGAATCGAACGTAACAATTTTTTTTCTCATCCCGCGATAGAATTGTAGCCGGAGCGAAACATCGACAAGTGATCAGCGTATTGACATGTCAGATATTGGATCCATCGGCTGGAAATTCCTACAGGAATCCCCTGCCAGGCACGCCGAATACCTACTCCCGCTCGCTGTGTTTACCCGCAAATTTAATTTAACGTCACTCCGTGTCACGCGACATCGTTGAAATTGTACGTCAGCGAGATTTACTACGTTCGGGAGGAACGCGGAGACGCCGCGCGAGACGCATCCGCGAGGATATCAAAGCGGAAATTAGCGCGTGTGCGTGTCAATTTGCGACTCGCAAGACGAGGATCCTGAAATTCTTTCAACGTCTGCAGGGTTCTCGAGAAAAACTCTTTCTTTATAATATAAACGCCCTACGCCCAATTGAACGGCCCGATTGAGAGGGCGGTGCAATAAACTACGGAAGCGAATCCGAGCTGTAAATAGTCCCCGGCGAATTTCAGAGTCTAATGAAGAAAGAGGTGAACGCGGGAAGATAACTGGCGATTTATGCGCAGTTGGATGGAGAACAGCAACGCGAGGCGTATTTATCGAAGATTGATAAGAGGAACCCGCCACGGCGGAAGAGCGTGAAGGGAAAGAATCCCGCAAATTTTCCAAATTCGCTTCATCGCGTTGCATCGCGGGGACCCGTTAGGAGATGCTGCGCGGCGCCCGCTAGCTCCATTAATATGTGAGAGAGGCAACCCTGCCTAAAAAGTGACTTAGCAACTCCAATGCATACTAAGCAAACCTTCTGGCGCTATTGGCTGCTAGCTAGCGTGTGTACGTGTGTGTATGTGGGCTTGCGTGTGTTCGTACGCAGGTCTATATCTGTGCGGGTTCTATCCTGGCACCCCTACCCGATCCAGCACACCCTTTGCACCCTTCGCGACTGTCGGCGCTCTCGAGCCCGTCCTTGCAGGACCAGCAAGACAGCGCGTATCCGGCCTACGGTACATGTATTCCAGCGACACGTACACGTCTAACCGCACACACTCACATGCACGCACGTCCATATACAGGGGGGGGGGGGGTGTGATAACGCGTGTAAATTCAAGTCCTAGAGGTCAATTAAGAGCTTCTTCGGGCGCGTGACTACTTTCACTTACGAGCAAACCTCACGGAAACGTCAGACGTCGATTTTTCTCAAATCTTTTTACAAGTTCTTCACGTGTCAAAGCAACAAGAAAGTATGTCGTTAGTTTTAGCCCGAGTTGCTTTTTGTAATTTTTCTAAATTTTGCTAAATTAGTCGAACCCGGAGAAATGGACACGCGGAACGGTACGCGCCTCTCGTTCGCGGAATCACGGAATTCTAGATAAAAACAGAATCAAAAGGGTCGAGTTTGGTGCAGTCGCGTAATATGAAACCAAAACGGCATTATCCGTAATGCTCTCTTTACGCATTCGGGTTGTTTTACACGAGGGTCGGTTCCCTGTATATGGCATCATATCATATCATCCTGAAGCTCGAGCAGACTCTTCACCACTCGTGTTCTCTCTCTCTCTCTCTCTCTCTCTCTCTCTCTCTCTCTCTCTCTCTCTCTCTCCTCATTCTCTCCCTTTTTCTCTCTTGTAGTGAGTGTGAGTATGCGAAAGGTGAGATGCACATGCATTCGTCGGTATGCGATGCCGTGGCTTGGAACTGCATGGAAGCGATTTGCACGAAGGTAGCAGATATCAGTAATAACTTGATATGCCCGCGCGATTTCCGCGTAAGAGGAGAGACGAATGTAACGGGGTCTGCGATATCGACAGCGTAATTGAGGAGGTCGAATTAATAATTGGGCGGGCTATAAATTTAAGGAGTGTTAAATGAAGTAAAAGAACGTATATTCTCGACACATTTTATTCGATTCATTTAGCGACTTTGAATAAAAGCTTGATAGCAAATAAAAGTTTATAAAAAATAATGAAGATTGGTATCAAGCAACTAAAAAGATTACATACTTATAAGTTAGTAAGTCAGATATCAAATTTGAATTTTGAAAGATGTCCAAAATTTACAATAATCGTCATTCGAAACGAAAAAGGGACAATATTCCTGAAAAAAATAAAAAAAATAAAAAGAACGAAATAAATGAAAAATACAAATTGCATGCAACAATTTATTCGTCATTCTTTAATAATTGTTACGGATTTCTTATCTTAGCGGTACGAATTCACCGGGGCAGCCGAGTAAAGATCTCGTAACCGAAAAAATCGATGAGAACGTTTGAATAGTCGCATTCGGATACGTTAACATCTATTTTCTTCGCCTCCGGAGATAGACTTTCAACGCTGTCTCCAAATACGTCGTCGCAGGTGCGTTTCCGAGCCACAGCGTTATTGTTAACCTTCCACACAATGTACATTCCTAGAGTTAGCTCATGCCTAGTAAATGCAAATGCATATTCCAAAAAGCCAACGACATTGACTACTAGAACCGGCTAATGAGGAAACACCGCGCGAACAGTGAGCGCCGTGGTAAGAGACTACGTAAATTTTACCTGATGCATGGGGTCGTATCCCATGGAGCCGTCGTTGTACGGCTGCGAGCCGTAGTCGCTGCCGTTTATTCCCATGCTGTATCCGGCCATGTCCTGCGGTCCTCCGGGTGGCGCCGGCGACATCATCGGCGTCGGGGTGCCCTGGCTGGCACCGCCCATGCTGTACGGCGATGCTCCTGCAAAAGCTGCTGTAGAAACGATCGCGGTGCATACAAAATTCGAGGGTGCGTCTTTTTAAGTTCTTTTTAAGCCACAGCTATATATTTTTTTCTCTCTCCTGCCTCTCGCGCTCCCCCTCTGGTCCTCGCGAGGGCCTAACATCGGGAGCTTGAATTTACATCAATATTAATACAAGAGGCAATTATCGCGAGGGCACGTTTAAGAAAACTGTCAAAAGCTTACGTAATTCATGGTCGCTCCTCGAGATGTAAACGCGCCGGGTGATCTTGATTCGCCGGAAAGTATTAAAAATTTTCTTTCTAGTCGAGAGTATTCGCGCCCTCTCGTAATTCGCTCCAGATTTGTATAAACGTACCCCCGGCCTCCGGAGCCGAGCTTGTAAAACCTCCGCGCCGCTCGAGACAAGCGTTGCCTCGCGGGGTTCGGTCGTTAGAATTCCGTTTCTTTAATTACGAGAGAGGACCGCGGGCCGTTTCCACGCGAGCGTGGACGAGGGAAGACAAACGCAGAGAGTGCTGAAAGAAATGCGAGCAGCTCGGAATTTCCATCGTACCCCGGCGCGTCTCGCCCTCGCCCGTCCTCCCTCGCCGTCCGGCTCGTGTTCTCCCCTTCTCTCCCGTGTAATTGGTGAGTTAAAAATATCTCACGCCGGGCATCCGAAATAAAGTGAGACGCGCCTCGGCAGTTAGGCGAAGCGCACGTAATTGCGACGAAGGGCCGCGCGAGATCCACGAGTCCATGGAATTTCGGAAATGGGATCGGCAATTTTTCTTGCAATTCTCACGAGGGCAAGGGCGAGGATCGCCCCCGAGGCTGGAGGACGAAAGTAGGTGGCGAGCGAGGACGACGCGAGAGCGTTCACCCCGAAAGACGCGACGAGGACACCTCGTAGCTTTCTGCTCCGCCCGCGATATTTTCGAAAGCACACTTTCCGAGAGTCTCTCACGTTTCTAAGGAGGATCGCGATCGATGGATCTGTTCCTCGTCGGCAATTCATCAACGGCCGTAACGACAGTGCCGCGCCGAACAATGGGCATAACTCAGTCGGACTGATGATTTACAGTAATGAGACTTCCTCCATCTCGATTCTACGGCTTAACGCTTAGAAGAAAAAAAACATGCGGAAATACGTATTGCGAATCGCCCGTTAATTATTTCAATCTCCCGCTTGCATCTCGCTTTTCCCCGACGAAGCTCGACGATGCGACCAAGAGGACGATAAGCCCGGGAGAACATTGAGAGAGACAGAAAGAACGATAGTAACGTAAAAGCACTTTGGAAAATATTTTACACATTCATAAAATGCAATCGCTCGCGACTTTCACTTGATGAGCGAAATACTGCTTCTCGATTTGCACATGGATGCTCGATCAATTTCGCAAATCGCTGTTACAGCACTTTCCTCATGCTTTGAGAAACATGAACTCGCGAAGGTACACCCGTCGCTCGTTAGCGAAGGCAGGCGAACTTACCAGCTGCCTTTTTGGCGGCGTACAGATTCGCCTCCTCCTGCGCCTTACCGATGTTTTTCTTGTAGCGTATCCTCTTGTTTCCAAACCAATTGGACACCTGATGGCAAACGAAACAGAGTCTACCAAGGGATTCTCGTATGCGCGTCAGATATATCCAAGTTTTTCTTTCGTTAAAGCGTTCATAAATACTTTTACTCCGCGCCGTGATACCCTTTTCAAAGAACAAGCTTGAAAACTTGGAAAATTACTTTGAAAATTAAAAGCCGCGGCGTGACGCGGAATATTATAAGCTGCAAAACTTGGTCGTTCAATATGTGCGGAGAAGAGATAGCGAACGATACCTGGCTCACGGTAATTCCACATTTTCGCGCAAGCTCCTCCTTGGCCTCTTCGCTCGGGTAGGGATTACTGAGGTGGGAATAGAAGTATTCGTTGAGAATTTCGGACGCCTGTTTGCTGAAATTTCTTCTCTTACGTCTGCAACGAGAAGCGCTTCGTGTTAATTGCAACGAATACCTTCCAAATCTGGATAAGCAAGAGGCACGAAAATTAGAAGTACGCGTCTTATTGTTTTAATACGAACCTGGCATCCAAGAATCGACTCCTCAGAATCATCACGGCTTCGCAAGTGGACTGCTTCAGTTGCATCTGAATGCTGGAGAACTTCTTGTGGATAATCTGGACCATCCTCTCGATTTCCTTCGGCGTGATCGGCCTGGTGCGGCTCTGTTCCCTCAACAGGTTCATCACGTGAGTGGTGAATTCATTGCAGGCCTGAAACAAGCAAAGACGAAGCGTCGTGCTTTACCATCCATTAGTCACCGGAGGGGAGAATTCACGCTAGGAATCCAAGACGCTCGTTACGAGATAAACCGTTAATTGAAAATATAAAACTGTTTCGTGACAAATTTCGGCACATTCCGAGCTCGTCGACATGACGAAAGGGCGTAGGATCGAGACTAGCGAGAGACACGGAGACAAGCGCTATGACCAGAGCCCGAGAGGAAAAGTCGAGCGACGAAGGTAGCGAGGGAGGAAGCGAGAGACGGAGAGACGCGTACGTATAATGCATTATTCCCGGTGGCTGCTCGGTTTAAGGGAAAAAGGACTTTGCTCGATATCAGTATTCGAGGCGAGCACGCTGTCTCCCGAAAGGGAGCGAGCCGGAGAGATAGAGAGCGAGACGGGCGGCGTGAGTCGAGCAGGGGGAGTGGCTTTTCCTGAGGGAAGGAGCCGGGAAAAGGCCGCGGGAGGGTGTCGGGATGTGGAGGGTGGGCGGCGGAGAAAGGGGATCGAACGGGGTGGCTTGCAATTTCGAAATGGATTCCATTCCGCCGACGAACCCCCTCCCCTCTTGTCCTCCTCCCACGATCCACCGTGCCGGCTTCTCTGCCTCTTCGTTCCTTTCTTCGCGCGGGACTCAACCGGGGTGGATCAACCCCGTTCCCGTCTTCCCGGCTGTTGCACGTGACGGGGAAGGAGCGAGAGAGAAAGAGAGGGAGAAGGTGCAAGGTATGAAACGGAACACTACTGAATTGGATGGAAAAGTCGTAGCCAGTCACATTTCCCCGGACTGATTTCCCTTAATTTCTGAAACGCTTTGGGGTCCCGGAGTGAATAATACCATCATCGAGGATCGCCCGACAGATTGTAACGCGGGGAATCGACGTGACGCGTCGCGGTGGTCTCTCGCATAGTTCTTCAAACGTACGAATCTACACGCGATTACGATCGGCAGGCGTATTGTGGGATCTCTTCGTAAATGCCTCCAAGTAGCAAACATTCTTCGATTCGTGTTAGACCAGCAGATTATTATTGACAATCTTTTTTTTAAGGGGAGAGGGATCTTCATAAACTCCCCCGAGCAATAAAAGTTCTTCGACTCGCGTCGGACGAGCCGATCAGATGAAATGCTCGATCTTGGCTCCGTGAGAAATAGCCGGGACCATGAAGAATTAATCTTAGCACTCTCGATCATCTCAGGCATACGTCTCGAGACGTCTCGACATCTACGATGTCGGCGCCTTTCTCGTCTGTACATTTACGGTCGGCTCTCCGCACAAAGCCAACGGCACACGATACTATTTTTCCTACTGAATGGCTTACGAGAGCCAATAGGGATGCAGAGTTTTAGATCAGATGACTTAAGACTAGAGCCAACGGCATACGGTACTATTTTTCCTACTGAATTGCTTACGAGAGCCACTCAGTTCTTAGTCACCTGATCTAAAACTCTACATCCTTATTGGTTCTTGTAAGTAATCCAGTAGGAAAAGTCGTATCGTGTGCCGTTGGCTTAAATCCTGACTGGCTCTCGTAAGCCATCCAGTAGGAAGAACACGAGGGGGAAACCGCTGAGGGCAGTGTGGTGTACAGATTTGCGGCGTTACTGGGCATTGCTAGGCATTTTTTGGGCATTACTTTGGGCATTAGGCCATGCTGGGGCATTATAAAGATAAAACGAGATAATAAGATAAAGTAATGCCCACTTGGTGCACAAGATTTTGGTCAGCGGTTTTCCCCTCAGAAATTGGCTTAACTTTTTCAAACGCGAAGATGACGATCGGTCCGGCTGGTCCGGACGGTTGGGGCACCGCGTTGCAAAATGGGATATATGCTACTTTCTACGATACAAATCAAGCGTGAATTCGATTATGTAACCATCGGGAACTCTCTCCGGGTTGTTTCCCCAACCGCGGGAACAACTGCGGCGGGAGAGAGAGCGAGAGAGCGCACACCGGTATATTTAGCAGTACACACGTCGGAATTTCCATAACGTCGGCGAAGCCGGGCATACTCGCCCCCGCTGTACATTCTCGCAATGCGCGCACGCGGCTAAGTATTAATAGAGCGTGTCGCAGTAAAATTAGAGCGCCGTGAGAAAATTCGCTGAACGCTCACGTTAAGACGCCGCCGTCTCCCCCTCTCGCTCCTCGTAACGACAAGTAACGCGGCGGTGTTCAAATTGTTTATTAAGAAAAAGAACACAGGCGTGTCGCGCTCCGTATACCTGTTCCGATTCGAGTAAACCGCTGACCAAAATCATGTACACCAATGCCTGCTAATGCCCAGTGGGCATTGCTTTGTCTTATTTTATCTTTATAATGCCCCATCGAGGCCCAATGACGAAAAAATGCCTAGTAATGCCCAGTAATGCCGCAAATCTGTACACCACAATGCTTTAAAGCCCGTGTCACACTACGTATTGCAGGTCGCGAATCGGATTGAGATTGCGGATCGCGGATCGCAATTCAACCAATCGGATACGAGGCTGTCTCGTCTGATTGGCTGAAGTGCGATGCGCGATCCCCAATCTCAATCCGATTCGCGACCTGCAATACGTAGTGTGACACGGGCTTTAGCGGTTTACCCCTCGTTCCGATTCTATTTTTCGTGAAAATGTTACCACGTTCTACCTTGCTCTCAAATTATGGTAATAGTTCGGAAGGTACTCGCGCAAAATATTTGCATTCCGCTATCATATACTTGTAATGCGATTTACGGCGGATCATACCAGTCGAACGGGCAGTAAAGAAAAAAATTTATGCCCGCGTAAAAAGCGCCCCCTGCCCCCACTCCGCGGCGGAAGATGCATTCTGCATTGCTTTTTCCGGGGATGTACAATGCGAGGGGTAGCCCGGGGGTCGGAATCAGAGCTGGGAATCGGATAAAATAAAGGCCGGGCGTGCACGCCGACCCGAAATTCATGGTAGAGACGATGTTTGCTGGCGGCGATCACGCGATCTCGTAAAACCCGATGCGGTTCTATTCTCGTGCTTGTCACGCCATGTTGCATAGCCGGGCAGACATTCACCCTAATGCAGCGGAGTCGACCGAATTTGAATAGTAAATTCCGCTTATGGCCCAACTTTCTGCCCTGACAACGTCGGGGGAGGCCGCTAACTAAACCAATTACCGAACTTTTGCAGATCCGACGAAATATTTATGCCGTGCGTTTTGGCAAATTTTCCCCCGGACGTAACCGCGCGCGACGTCGCCCTCTTTTTCTTCGCGGGGGAGTTTAACAAAAACTATCGCTACCCGTCGCGGCTCCTTCCCGCGTATTTCAAGCTATACAGATGCCAATTTCGTCCAAGTTCACTCAAAATTAAGAGAGAGGGAGAACAAGAGGGGAAAGAAGCGAGAGAGGGGGAAGATTTAAAACTCGTTAACGGCCCCGTTTATCGGCGAACCGCCCCTCGGCACGCACGAGCCGCATCGCAAAGTGCACGCGAATGCATATGTTTTCGGTGCGCCCGGCATGCATATTGTTGCATATGCGGCCGCGATAGAGCCGTGCACGCATTACAGGGGCGGATCCAGGGCGTATCCGTGGAAGATGCTCGCGAATCATCGTTTACGATTTCCACCGGCAGCCGCGAAACGCACCGCTTTCCGGGAATTGTAATCTTCAATTTCCGCATCGACGAACGCGGCCCCGCCGATCTAGCTGTGAAGGCCCGAACGCACGAAAAAATTTGACCAATAAGATTCAAGACGTAAACATTTCGATTAATCGGAATTTTCAGAAAGTGGCTACTTACACTCCGGACTGTCATTGGTCACTTTCCTTAAAGGCCCAAACACACGAAGAAACTTAAGCAGTAAAACTTCAGGGAAATGACCAATGACTGTCGAGAACGTAAGCAGCCATTTTGAAACTTCAGCAATACTGAAAATGCCGATTGGTTGAAGTTCTTAAGTTTTAGGTTTTACTGCTTAGGCCGGTATCAGGTCTTATATTTCAGATCGTTTAAGTTTATCTTACGATGATGTATGGAACATTTTTCATTAGCTATGGAGTATCTAAAAACGATCTTAAGACCATCTTGAATATAAGATCTGACTATGAGTACTGCCCTTACTGTTCAAGTTATTTTCGCGCGTTTGGGCCTTAAATCGCGAGGGATGAGAGTAATGTCGCGCTAGAATCGTTTTGCGCGACGGTACACCCAGAAAAAATTTGTTTGAAATCAAACAGAGTTGTTTCAATTTTGACTTTACTGGACTTTTATTTAATTTCAAAGAAATAAACTTCTTTACCTTGACCAAAATTTTGTTTGATCGAGATTGGAATTTCCACGAGAATTTATATCTATTTTTTCAAATCTAGCAAATGTTTTAGTACAAGTAAATAACAATGTAGATTCAATGGAACGATGTCAACGTGTCTCATTTGTTTAACCTAACAAAATCTTTTTTCTGGGTGTACAGTGCGCCCTTTCAATCCCGACCCTGACGGCCGCGCCGGTCTGACTGCGAATCGCGCGAGAGGAGAGCGACGTCGCAATAACGGCTCTCAGCCTTCGGGGGATGAAAGGGCACTGGGAATTTCCGCGACGCGAAGCACCGCGTTAGAATCATTTCGCTCGGAGGTACAATGCGCCCTTTTAATCCGTCCCTGACGAATGCGCCGCGCCGGTGGACCCGCGGGGGCTGTGCGTGTTTACCGCGGGGAAACATCAAGCCCGCTGACACACGGTGAAATATGGGGTCGAAGCGGGTGTGGCAATTAAAGCACACGGCGCGGCCCGGCGCACACGTGTACAACACGCACGCGGGTGCCACGTACCGTCCGCGAGCGGGCAGGAAAAACTGCCGGCGAAAACGCGAGCGGCGTTAAAAAGAGTTATGTGCGGAGGGGTGGGGGGGGGGGGCAGGGCCGATGAGCGGGCCCTATTTACGGTAAAAATGGCCGATTACGCGCGTCGTCATGCGAATGTAAGGGCTTTTACGCGCATACGTCAAGCGGAATGACCGGTGATCTGTTGAACCGGTGAAAAAGGGCCGCCGCGAACGCGACCGGCGATAAGCCGCGCGTGATTTTGTAATCGTCGCGTCGCGACTCCGATCGCGCGAGCGTCCCCAAATCGTGGCGGATTATCTTCGAGCTAAATTAATTAAAAGTGGAGTATCGTGCCGCGAGGGTCGACGCGATTATGGAGTACCAAATATTATATTTACCACGTGATAATTTTGCCAAACGTTTCAAAGCGCTTTGACAATATTTAGCTCGCACGCCAGGGTGGAATTAATTAGTCGCGTGCGTTTGAAGGCTTTCATCATTTAATTAATATTTATCCGAGTTAATTAACCGCGGGGAACGTTTTGCTCGGACATTTTATTTTTCTTCTACAATATTTCGCCGAATTCACGGTGCCCCATGCGGCATTGAAGTCGTCTCGCGACCGGATCAGGACGGTGATCTGAAGAGGAAGCGACCGAGAGGCGGGCGAGCAGCCTTAATGAAACCGCTCGCGATAGCATCGTCGAATTTCCGCGCGACGAACGCGGCAATATCTCGATGCAGTGATTTGCGCCCCCCCCCCCCCTGAAAGAACCCACGCGTATCACGCGACACACGGGCAGAGCCCGGCACGCGAGATTTTACTTAGCGCGAGCAGGCCGGTTCATTAGCACGCGAGTCGCGAGACTGACTCCGACGACGGTCGTTTCTCCCGAGCCGCACATAACGTTCCCCGTTCTTATCGACGGCCGCGAGGCGCTCGAAGATTGCGAGTTAGTCGCCGTTGAACGCTCGCACTAAAAAAAAAAGAACACGCGTTTCTGTCGTGTAAGGGCTTTGGGTTTCACACCTGCTCTCCGTAAGGCGCAACAGTAAGATTTCGACCAATCGCGTTGCTCGATTCGGGGCGGCCGAATGGATGCTCAAGTGATTCTGCACTTTTTGCACCTTTTGCTCCTAGAACTGTCAATTTATGAAAACATTTGTGTAATACGCAAATTATGTGGCTTTTGTGTACAGACCGACAGTGTCCTACTATTCGGACTGAATGGGAGAACAGCGTGGTATCATTGAAGCTAAGTTTAGAAGCCTAGAAATAAATCTATTCACTCAAAGAAGTTATAGGTTAGGTACCTATAACTTATTTAAGCGACTAGAGTTTTTGTTAGGCTTCTAAACGTAATTTCAATGATACCATGCTGCTCTTCGATTTAGTCCGAATGATGGGACACTTTCGACCTGTACGTATAAGCCGTAATAATTTGTGTATTACGGAAATGCTTTTATGAATTGGCAGTTCTAGATGCAAAAAGTGCAAAAGGTGCAGGATCACTCCAGCACCCCTTGAGGTTCGTTAAAAATCTATGGACGGCACCGTGAGGGAATTGTTGACGTTTCCCTTTCGGTCCGCGGAAGCACGTGGGCCTGGAAGTCGCCCGGCGTGGAAGGCGACGATCATCTCGCCGGTAATTTAACGGCGCGTCGTTAATGAAGATGGCCGTCTAATGCCCGCGAATTACACAAGATTGCAGCGTGAATTTTCGATTGGTCGTTTTATCCCGAGACTTCCGCGCAGTGTTCTCCACGGCGAGAATCCGCGCCGATTTCCTCGCACGATATAAACGCAACGAGACCTTAACGAGACCGCGAGATCGTCGGCGGACGATAAATTCGCGTCGACGTCGCTGAATTTCACGAGCGGAGAGATTATCGATGGTGGAATCGAGCCGGCTGATAGCGCGCCGGGATGGCCGAAATTTGTCAGCCGCGCCGGATCTCGGCGATAACCGCGAGGCTACGCGTTTAAATTTTTCATTTCGCCGAGAGTTCTCCCGGCGAGGGTGAGTAACGGCGCTCGTTTACGCGCCGCGAGTTCATTTCACTGTTCACCTTTTCTCTCTCTCTCTCTCTCTCTCTCTCTCTGGCTTTTTATTTCTCTTTCCTTTTTTTCGCGCTTGCAAAGTCGGACGACGATAAAACGACCGATGTAATTCCACGACCCGAATTCAATACTCGATACGGCACCGATAACGGCGCGGACTCCCGCCGCCCGCTCGCGGCGAATAATATTCATAAGCGGGATTTGCATAAAGCGAGCGTGCTCGTTCGCTCGCTCGCTCTCTCCTCGGAATGAATAATTTTCGTGGGCAGCGGGAGGGGATTTTGCGACGTCGCGCGCGCAAACGTAAAAATGTTTGACTGCGGCGCCGCGCGCTGCGAAAATCAATACGCGAGTTAAACTTAACCCGTTTGGCTTAATGGGCCTGGGTTGGCCGTTTTGCGTTCGCAGCGTGTTTGTAAATTCATCGGGATGAAATTCGCGAGTGTCCATTACGCGATCCTGGAGATGTGGCAGAAAAAAAGCGCACGCGGCGGCGCGATCCTCGCGGAAACTGAATACATTTAGAGCTACCAGATAATAATATTTTCCCCGATAACTATCTTCCCACGAACCTGCTCGTATTTCTCTAGTTCCTGATGATAAATTTGCCTAATCTGGGCGAGCTTGGCCCTGTAGTCCGAATGCTCGATCGCGTTGTCCGGCTGCCCAGGTGGACCGGCCGCAGCTGCCGCGGATGCCGATGCGGCGGCTCCCGCACCACCGCCCTTCTCTGGTCCAGCAACCCCCTCGGCGATCAGCATATTATCCAGCCTCATTAGTTGCGGGTCCGGCGGCTCTTCTTCTTGCGTGTTTCTCAGTGACAGCACTGTAAACAGACCAAAGTACCACATAAGACAAGGTTGAAACCGTACTCGTCGGAGTACAAATGCGATATTATAGAAACAAAAGTGACAACTGGACACTGAGAGTGTAACGCGGTTGTCGCTGCGTGGATCGTATAATTATAGTATAACTAGTAGGTCCATTCTCTGTCGGCCCCTTTGATCTTTGCGGTCCCGATCACGGGATACTCCGCCATGTCTTGGGTCCAAATCCAGCAGCGTATGTGTGTGTACTCATCAAACTACACACATGCAACTTTTCTCTCACTGACTGGACCAACAAAATGTTGGGTGCGCAAAAGGGATCGACGCAAAACAAAACAAATAATCTACTAGTTATACTGGTATAATCAGCCATGTTCGATTATGAATACAATTCGTGGAGACGAATGTTTCGACTCCAATTGGAGTCATGTCCGGTACGACATATATTTAAGAAGCAGTTAAATTGTCACGATTTCAGTTAGTCCAAATGGTGAATATAGTAGAAAAGTATTAGAAAAAAAACTATTTTTTTAATTTCCGAAGAATAATAATTTTACAGACGCAACTTAATAAAATCAAATTGGTATCTCTTGCATTTTCTCGGAACTTGTATCCCCCGCTATCTAAAAGTCAATCAGTGAATATTCACTGTTTTCAGTGACAATCCACTGAGTGACTTTTAGAGAGCAGATTATTCAAGTACGATTAACCAGACTCGAAGATTATCAAAGGAGTAGAGAGAAGCGGAGACATCGGAGAACACATCTGCATGCGATCGCGTAAAGGTCCGACGGCTCGCCCGCGGCAGCGACCCCCGTTTCAGGGTCGCGCGTTTGTCGATCATAAAAGAATCAATTTCGCCGTCGGCCGTCTCACCCCGGGACTACCCCCACCGGTCTTCTTCTCGTCTTAAGGGCTCGTTGCACGCAGTGGTTTAGAGCGGGTAGTTCTCCGCGGTGTAACAGCGGTTTTATTGTACTTTTACGGCGCATGATGGAGCTGGACGACCCATAAAACCGCAGAGCGAGGGACTTTCTATACCCCAAGCCCGCCTCGTACCCCCCACCCCCCTCGGCCTTTTCCTGCCACCCTCGCGCGAGAGCTTCCTGCCACCGCCGAGATGTAACCCTGTCGTCTTCGACAGTTAGCACCCTCACCCGAGGCAAACGCCGAAACACGCAAGCGAGACGAAACGAGCGGGAACTCTCAGCCTCTTTGACGAGGCGTCACGGGGAGTCTCTTCGTCATCAGAGAAGGCTAAACTTTGCACGGATTGTGCAAAGTGCACCTCGTTTACGCAGCAGGATTAGGTCGACGTAAAACGAGGGGTAAACCGCTGCGGGCATTGTGGTGTACAGATGTGCGGCATTACTGGGCATTACTAGGCATTGTTTGGGCATTAGTTTGGGTATTAGGCCGTGCCGGTGCATTATAAAGATAAAATAAAATAAAACAAGTTAAACAAGATAGGGTAATGCCCACTAGGCATTAGTAGGCATTGGTGTACATGATTTTGGCCAGCGGTTTACCCCTCGACGTAAAATCTTGGATAGATTGTGGCAGAATTGAGGCACCAAAAGTACCAGCCAACATAATTATACGAGAAGGTGTTATATTATGACGAAAAAATTGTCTCGTGTTTATTTTGCGAACATTTTATTACCGTCACTTCTTACGCTCTTCGCGAAAACTCGTACGATAATTTCGTTCGGTTATTATATTCCTCTCTCGACGTGACTTTATGAATGAACTCGCGCTTGCAGTCGCCCGAGTCGCTACTTGAATGCGCTGGAAACTTTTCTCGTCCGCCACTTTTCGCCACGTCTCGCGAAAAAAGTCCCCGGAGACGCGAAGGGAGGGGGAGGGGGAGGAGGGAGACGAACGAGACTTCTCGCGGACTCGCGGAGGCGTGAAACGAATGCGCGGGGCTAATGCATTTATACGAAGTGTAACAATTATGCCAGTCGAAACGAGGGGCTAGAGTTCCGCTCCTTCGGCGGGACTCCAGAGAATTCTCTAGAGCAGACGTGCCATTTTAAGCGACAGGAAAACGCTTCCTCGACGAGGACACTGCGTAAATAGTGTAATTATTTTTAGAAAGCTATAGTGAAAGCTAGTTATCTTCCAGCGACAATGGACGGAGATTTTTTCCCGAAAGGAAAGAAAACAAGATGATTCGCAGTATTAAATTTCGAGAGACGAGAAACGGTTTCGTTATTTCTGGCTCAAGCAAACGTTGATCCGTTATTTCCTGGGTGGCGTCCCGAATGGATGACGTTGAAAATTGAATTACGACGAAGGGAGGTACGGTCAGATCGAACGGGCTCCGGAAATGAAGTCAAATAAGTTTCGAAATCGTAGCACGTCCCGCGGCACTTCCACGGGCGACTTAAGAAGGGGTTAACGACAGTCAACGCAGCCATTAAAACTTCCGTGCCAGTGCCCGGGAACTTTTCACGGCGCTGTGGGTAATTAAAAATGAAAAACCTCCGGACGGCGTCGCTCGCCGAAGGCGGCGGAATAAAACGTCGGTTTACGACGATGCGGAAGAACTTGCACCATTGAAAGTTAAAAGGCCAAGCAATTTCGATCGCTGATACGAGCGCTCGTTCTCTCCAAGGTGGAAATAAAGCTTTATCTTCTTTCTCGTCTATGAAAAAATTATATTATTTTCAGTCCTTTCGAATTAAAGGATTAATCGTCGCGGATTAAGGTATATTATTTTTTATCGATTTCTAATCCTTGTACACGTTTCTTTTATAAATGACTTTAGGAACGCGACACTTTTCTCATAAACGAGTTTAGGAACGCACCTTTGAATTCTGAATGGAACTTACCAAAGGCAGTAGTAGAACCTTGTGCTACTACTATTTTTTAACTACAACCGTGCCAAGCTATACATCATATAATATGGAAATTTGACAATAACTATCCATTGTGCATAAGCGAAGGTAGTAGCTCTCGTCCTGAATCTACATGCGCATTCACAAGTTCGTTAAAAAAAAATGTCGCGATTATTCTATCTACGACTGCACAATAGACATTAAATTTGTGACTTGTAATAAGATTAGGAAAAAGACACTTGAGAACAAAAAGGAAAAATAACATCCGTAAATCCCCAGACGCACGATAATGGATATTATTCTTACACAATTATCACGAAAATCGTGTCTTCTACGAAATTATTCTTGCACTCAAGATCCTTTTACCACCCTGGTAAAAATTTCTACTCGACAAGGTTTAGCAGAATCATGAATTAAACTGGTATCAATTGTATGCATACGTGTCCGGAGAAACTCAAATAATGTAAATTCTGCGACGGTGTTCCGGTCCCTTCCGCGGCGAACGGCGGGGGGGAATAAGAAAGTCCGAATTAAACGTTCTTTCGGAATTATTTTCGTGCTTGCGGGGGTGGCGGGCACGGGCGGGGGTGGCTGGCTTACGAGCAATAATCTGGCTATTAGGGGGTGTAAGGGGCGGCTCTGCGTGCTGCCACGCTGAAGAGGGGCCAGGGATCGCAGCAGCCTCCTGCGGGGGTCCTTACAAGCGCGTAAACTCAGTTTTACTAGCAGTTAACATTTTACGACTCAGACGGTCTGCTCGAGCCGTTTGCTCTTGCTCTCGTTGCTCCCCACGTCTCTGTCTTTCCGCCACATTTTCCCGCTTTCCCTCTCTATACGTCTCTCTCTCTCTCTCCCCCTTCTTTCCCTCCCTCTCCCTCTCTCTCTCTCTCTCTCTCTCCCCCTCTCTCTCTCTACAATTGACACGTGTGCGACGTGCGGATCTGTATATGGGACACCCAGTATATAAAGTCATGCTCGCTAAAACGCTCGTCGTTCTCGAGGGTCGTTTGCGAATCGAGTACATTAATACGACACCCCATTGAAGGAGGCCTATTTGCAGGCTAATTGCACGACTAATTCGGGCGCCGTGAAACGTCCAGACGATTAAGGAAATCGTATCGCCTTGAAATATAATACGTTAACGCTAGCGCCACTATGACGTGTGCCGAATCGCGGATATTCTGCCCAAGACCGGATCCGGATCCAGATCGAGCGCGTATAGACACGAACGAATAATTCGTTTCAACGAGTACGAACCGGCACCGCATTAACAGCTCGAGCGTATTATAATTTTACGGATCAAAATTGTGACCCCACTTTTCTCATAAGCATCGCTTTTCGATCGCCGCTCAGCATCCAGCGAGGATCGACCTCGTATTTCCTCTCTTTCGCGTATCCGCCACGTATCTACACGCGCCCCCTCCCTCCCCCGTCTCTCCCTTCCCCTATCCGCCGTCGCCGCGCTGTTTTCCAGCGCGAAAAGCGGGTAGCAGCCGACAACCCTTTGTTACCGTGCCTTATCTTAATTGCTTTCACGGGTTCCCGTTTAGATCAATACACACCGCCGACGTTCTGCCAGCGGTCTTCTCCGTCGCTTCGCTCCGCTCCACGAATCTAAATTATCCCGAGGGTTGTGTTTCGTCGCACGCGCGGATCCCGGCCCCCTCTTTCCGTCCCTCCTCGC